TACCTTGCCGTCAGCACACAAACCTCTCAGACTGCTTTTATTTCAGCATGGAGCAGTATACATTTTCTTATCATTATCTAAAATGTATTTATGAAGTGTAGTTTCACTTCATTGATTTCATGAGCTTCCTTATTCTCTTTGCAGGTCATAACTATTGGCAGGCATGTGAAAGGATATCACTACATCATAGCAAACTTGGTAAATGATCTAAAATGTAACACTAACAAAGAACAACACGTCTTTTTGAAAATGTGCAAAAATGCTGAGAAAACCATGTCATGTTTTCAGGGTTTTGTGGATGGAGATCTTTCAAAAATCCAATACGGTGGAGCTAATGTCTCAGGCTTTCAGATTGTGGATTTCGATGACCCTCTGGTATCTAAATTTGACCAGCGCTGGGAAGCCCTGGAGGAAAAAGAATATCCTGGAGCAGACAGCAAGATACGGGTGAGATCTGTGTGTGTGTGTGACTGTCCCTTTTACTGTTTCAGACAGCTTCACTAAATATGATTAAAAGAGATGTTCAGGTAATTGCTACATGAACATAAAACCTCTTCATTTAAATGTCTGTATAGTTCAGGCCATTTGCAGGACAAGCTTGTTAGTCATTTTCTACTCCAGATAAAATGTAGTCTCATCTGTCTTCTCGCCAATTTACGAAGACTAAGTAGGTGCTTAATTTCCTGGGACTGAAATCAAGTGTTTCATTCTTACATTACCAATGAATCCTGAAAATGCATAATTTAGAATTGAGAACGCCTTTTAAATTACAGTACATTCATGAATTTGAATTGAATGTACAATGCGGTAGCAAACAAATTCAAATGTAATGAAATTCATATAACTGCTGTTATTTCCTGAGACAGCTTTACCAAATAAATGTTAAAGGAATAGTTCATCCAAAAATGAAAATTGTGACATTAATTACTCACCCTCATGTCGTTCCAAAACTGTAAGACCTTCGTTCATCTTCGGAACACAAATTAATATATTTTTGATGGAATCTGAAA